TTAAATTTCTTTCTAAATAAGTTAACAAATTAAGCTTGGAGGGCACATTCAGTCTATCACCAAATTGAGTTATAAGAACTAAAAGGGCCAACTAGCCTTGCCTCATGGTTTTACAGTTGGTAAGACTGGAGCCTGTTGTTCAGATATCTTCACAGGAGCCTGTTGTTCAGATATCTTCACAGGAAGACTTAATTTAAGCCTAGCTCAGGAAAATACTTGAAAATGAGTGCTCCCAGAGTGGTTATGGAAGGATCTAGTATGTTCTGTATTGAAATGGAGAAAAGCTTATTATAGAATTGTCTGTTTTTTTTCTGTAATAATTTCAAATGGTGTATAATTTGTGTTCTATAAACAGATACAGTTCTTGAAAGTATAGGAACCAAATTTGTATAAAGCTGTTTTTAGTGCCATTTTGGTATGTGCTTCTGGGGAAAAAAAATCAGTGCAATTATTCAAAAAATTTATTTTTATAGCATTTTTTTGGTTTTCTGTTAGTGCTGTCTCTTAAAATTAAGCAATGCATGTGGTAAAGACAGGTAAAATTCATAAAGCATTCCTACAATTAAAAAGACTTCTTAAGGTACTGACGAGGCAAAGAAAAGATCTTCCTTTCATAACCTAACTGGTTCAATGACTAGGTTGGCAATTCAAGAAATAAATTCTTTTTCCCTGTCGTAAGGCTGTGACCTCCTATTTATTCATCCTACCCTTTCCATTTCTTCTGTATGTTTCTCTTACCTAAATTTCAGAAAATAGTTTTGATCCTTGTAATAGTACCATCCATATTTCTGAGGGCAGGTCTCTCCTTTTTAGCCATGTCACTAAGATCTCTCTTCAGTGAGAAAATGTGTACCTTCATTTAGTACTGTTACTTTGTCTTCCAATACATGCATTTATTTTCCAAAAAATTAACCTTGAATGCTGTGAAAATGTATAAGAATATCCTGTAGGTGTTGCAGATAACTGGGTCCAATGAAAAGAGGGTTGCATTTACCTTTTTATTATTTGAGGCTGAAAAAGCTGGCCAGGCTTTGAACCAATTGTTTTTCTGCTATCAATTGCTTTATTTACTACTCTGTGACAAGAACTCTTTATCACTGCTGCTACTTGGCAGTAACAATGGCAAAATAATTCCTCTGAGTAGCCAACCTGCTGTTGTGCCACACACATATGGTGACAAAGTACAGACCTACAGCTGCGTTGTTTTGACCCCAGATTACATTGCTTCTGGTGAGAATAGTGGGCAACAGTACACATACAGAATTTCGTGGTAGAGATTGCTCTGTACTGGTTTTGGAGATCAATTTTATATCAGGCTAAAGGAGCATTTTTTTAACTGTTTTCAGGCTGAGTTTCACTCCTGAGACTTTCTTTATTTCACTTGAATAAGTGGCAGAAAAACAGCTATATTATAAGCCCTAATAGGATTAGCTGTAAACAGCAAAAATGCATTCCCCAATCATGTTCTGGCAGTTTAATTAGAAAACTGCTTTGTGCAGTTATTATCTGTAGTTAATGAGATTCTTTACAGTAGCCATAAGTGATATAAAATACCTATATTCAGCATTTTGCTCCTGTGTTTATTACCAAGTGGTCCTGCCTGAGAAAGAGAATGCGTTGGTTTAAATACATGTGCAGCACACACGGGGGACTAAAAGAGAGCAGCTTCTGCACAAGAGCAAATTTTAACATAATTGCAATGACTTCACTGCAAATACTGTTGCTGAGGATTTGTGACCAAAAAACCTTAAGAACTGAAGAACCACTAACGATTGCAGTACTGTAAAATGGAGATTTTCTTGAGGGCTTGTAAACAACATTGAGTGAACTGATAAAAGGAGAACCAAGAAAGTGCTGTGGGGGATGAGGCCAGTTCTTTGGAAGGACTCAAGGCTTGAGGCTGTGTCTGTGCTGGGAGCAGGCTCTTGGAGCAAGGTGATGCTCCTTACATGTCCATTATATGCAGTCAGGATCAGGGGAAAGGGATCACACCAAACCTGGAATGGCCTCCCAGGCCAAACATCACCGCTACTCCTGTATTTAAAGCTTTCAGAACTAAGTTGTTCCACAAAGGTTTTCTTCTTTGAGATCTCCTCTGCATGACACCCCGTGATGTGCCATGCTGTCCTTTCTTCTGCCTCATGCAACTGATAGTAGCAAATCAGTGTCCCTAGCAACGTGGCAATGTGATACTTGAAACCCTTGCAGTGAAAAGATATGGAAGGCAAGGCTGCTTCTTGAGCTAGGCAAAGGAATCAATAGGAATGCAAATCTTAGTGAAAAGAGGGGGGAAAAAACTCTGTATCAACTACCTATTAAAATATTGCATTAGGGTTGTTTTTATTTATTATTAGCATTTTATGTTGTTCTAATATGTGTCACCACATATTACAATTTTTGCTTTAACGTTTCCCAACAGCTTGTATAGACTTCTGTTCTGCACTCTTGTCCAGACTTCGTCAGTGTGGCGGGGCGCAAGCAAGCTGTTGCTCTGTTCCTTTGAGCAGTAACTGTACTCGGCTGGGGAGTGACAGTGGAGTGCATTGCATAAAGTGTCAACAGTGCAGATTTTTCTTTTAAGTATTGGTTTCCAGGAGTTCTCAAGCTTCTTCAGTTCTTCATTTTTCAGTAAAACAATTAATACCAGAAGCATTTGCTGCAGGATTTGTGTGGGGGGTGTGCATGTGTGTGTAGTAAACTGTTGCTGAAAAACATTGTGACTGTTAGAAAAGAAATAGCAAACTGTATAACTCATAGTTGTGGGGTTTTGTTTTTTACTTCTGTACTGATCTTGATTCTTCCATGCATTAATGTAACATCAGAATGTCAAACAGGATTATATCTATTATATCTATTTCATATCTAGAAAATAGAAGGAGCAAAAGTTATTTTGGAGTTTTGTGAGCTTAACTAAAGAAGACGAGCACTGACTAGCTTTTTGAAACCTGTAAGGATGAATGTCTTCAGTGGTACCTTACAGTAATTACAATTACATGTTTTTAAATATTTATTTGCCAATAAAAGACTAGCAGAAAAGCCTTCCTTACATAATCATAACTGGGGTTATTTTTTAATATACAGGATTCATATACTATTTCTGTGATACCTTTATGTACATTGTATTTTATAACCATAACTTGGGAAAGGGATGCTAAGATGATGGTATATGTTTGTTCAGAGATTTTAGTCTGGGGAAACAGGATCTATGGAGTATAAGCACTGCAACTGGAGTCCTCCTGTGTCAGTTTCTGTTAATTTAGCGTTTTACCCAAATGATTAAGAAAACAGTTGATGTAATGAATTCAGTTGATAATTTGTCCCTGATTTTAATTGAATTAAAAATCTGTTATGTTGTTTTAATCCTACACTCAGATAATGACAATGGTGGAAATGTCAACCACTTGTGAAAGGCTCGTCTAAGCTAAGCCATGGCTAAACTGAGTAGATTGCTTGCTGCACTAATGGAAAATTTTAAAAATTCCAAAATGTTAACATATATATGGTTATCAGACAGAAAATACACATTGAAGCTTAAAATAAGTTTAAGCCTTTGTAGAATGTGTCTTGGTTGCCAATATTTGCTAACATACCTTAGTTAACATTGTAATTGTTCTAAATCTATGAATATGAAGTACTGCACTGAGAAATGTCATTCAGATTCATTCTCTTCTTTCTTTAAAAATATTGCTGTTCCTGCTAACTTCTAATGAGAGATGAGAAGAAAACGTCAGTAAGGGTTCTAGAAACTCTACAGTGATCATCCTGAATTCTAAGGAGCTTTCCTGTTTTGATGATGTGTTTGTTTAACCTAAGGAAGGAATAATCTGCATGGCTTTAACCTTTTTAATACACTGAAATTCTTTAGTAGCATATCAAATGCATCTATGGTGTTTTGTTGGTGAGTTGTCACTTCTTTTGCAAGAAACAAAAAATGATTTCAATAGTATTTCTTACACAAATAACACAGGTGGGACAGACACATTTTATGGAAAATAGTCTTCCTTTGAGAGCTTTAACTGTCTAATAATAATTTTGGCTTTGTGCCTAAAGAACATACTCTGACATTTATACCAGGTGATCAGAGTGCCTGCATTTCTGAGATACAACTTACTGGCTTCCGCACAAAGCAGGCAGCACCTGATTTCATTGGAAACCTTTGTAGTCCTCTGTGAGAATGATATATGGATAGACTTTATATTGAGTTCATTGTAATTATGAATCCTCACAGGAAGTTAAGTTAGATGTAAATTCCAGAATATGCGGAGCTGTGCTAGCTATTAGGCTTTTAATCTGTAAGTCCCCCAGCAAAATGTGAAGTATATAGAATTATTTTATTTAACAGGGCCAATATCCTATAAAATACTGAAATCTAAGGTACTATAGGAACATCAATAAAACAATTTTATTGGAGTTGTGATATAGTCCTTAAAACAATCTATTGTATGAAAATTCTGTAAGATAATGATTTATTAATAATAAAAAATCTAGAGAAATATGAACCCATTTGGGGGTTTGTGTGCCCAGTCTCTGAAAAGTATGAATTATGAAGAAATTGTGGGAATGATAAATTGGTATTTCCTTCTGCAAAGACTAGTTCTGGATCTCAAAAGAGATTGCATAAATGGCCACTGACTCTGTTGCACTGTTACGCACTGCCTTGCTAAGACTGTAGTACCTTCTGGAGACCTACTACTACGAAAAGAATTTTAGTCCGTAGGAGAGACCTTCTGCCAAGGAGAGAAGTCAGCATCAGTGGGTGTTTTTATGATAAGGGGTTTTTACTAGGTTGTGTGATTTTCTTTTATCAAGTGCGGAGTCAAGGTGTTGGTTTTTTGATTTGTTTTTACATACTGCTAACATATTTGTATAGGCATGCTATATACAGATGATCAGAAGATTGAATTTGATACTTATTAGGACTATTTAGTGACATTATGGAATTGGAAAACAAAACCAAAACATTCTTTGCACTGTTTATATTTTTTCCTTTTTATTTTTAGGATGCAAAATTTGTAGAAGAGCGACGCAAACAGCTACAAAATTACCTAAGGAACGTAATGAACAAAATTATTCAAACTGTGCCAGAATTCACAGCCAATCCCAAAAAAGAGACTCTTATTCAGCTGATGCCCTTTTTTGTGTAAGTATCTGTCATGTAGTCAAGCAAATATTAAGCCTGTTTCATCATGATTTAATATATACTGCCAGTATCTACCAAATCTTAAAAAAAAAAAAAAAAAGTGCTTTTTTAATAGAAGGCACCTGTTCAGATTATAAATGCTTTTGAGCGTTTTTTGTAATATTTAAAGGAATATATGATATATATACTAGTTTTTGTTTATTTAAATGGTGGTTTTAAACAAAAATCACTGTGTAAAGCTTTCAAGAGTGTCTGATTCTCTTTTATTTTGGCTTTTTAAGTTTTGTTTTGCTTTTGTTTGTGTGGGTTTTGTGTTTTTGTGTTCAGTTTTATTTTGGGGATTGAGGGTGGATCACTGTTAGTGTACTTACCAAATTAAAAAGTCAAGCTGTTGAACTCTTTCTAGCTGAACTTTGCAATCTGCTGATGTATGTTCTGACTTCATTGATGTTAGCACTGAATATGTCCAGAAATAGTTTAACACAGTCATCTGTTAAGAATCTGAAAGTAAACCATTTGATATAGAATCATATCAGGATATCATCTGTTAAAATCTTATCACTTGCTATAAACAGTTCCTTATTTGTAAATGATATTTAGAGCTGTTTAAGAAGTAATATTAATGCAAAATTATGAACACCTATTCATACCTAGTAAGCCATATTAAATTTGCTGTTCACAAGCCTCTACACAGGCACTGTGCAAGCATGGATGGATCAATTTGCAGAATCAAGACCCATTTAAAATCAGTGTGTTTCAGTAGAAGCATACGTACTTAGCTGTACTACTTGATGGCCTTATCCAGGGTTTTAGATTTTCAAGTTTAAACTTAACTTCAGGACAGCTGTGTTTATTAGAACTGTAATAGGTAAATGGAAGAATGCTAAGATTTTGTGGCACTCATTTTTTCAGTTTTTCCTGGATTTGAAAAAGTCAAAATCAATTTGAGGAGACACCCTGAGGTGGTTGTCATAAATACCAAAACAGCGTTTGTAGAGGCAAATATCTCAAGAGACTTACCTTTTTCTTGTTCTTAAGAATCTATTTTGTAAAATCTTACTAAGGGCTGTAAAGACTGAAATGGTTTTGAGTACTTCCAGTTGAGAGGCCAATAAATGACAATTTGTTAAGTCACTTTAAAGTGACTGTATCATGCTGTATTTTGTTTTTAAACAAGAGGGGGGACAGTACAGAATACATTTGTGACTGAAGTTTCAAATCAAATATTTTTTGCTTTTCCTCTCCAATTATATTTATTTTTAAGATGGTTAATAATAGCTGTGTGAAGTAGTGAACTGATAATTCCATGTCAACTTCATTTCATAATTTGTTGTTTTAGATGTAGAGCAAGAAAAATTCTCAATGGTATCTACATAGAGGTTTAACAATTGTTACTTAAGTTCCCATTGTTTATTTTGTTCATTATAATTAATAATCTTGAGTTCCACACAGACAAGCAGTAATGCAGAATAACATCTGGAAGTTAGGGCTAGTTAGTTTTTCCTCCTCAACCAATGAGAAGGAAAAACTTGTGAACGAAGTTAAATTTTGAGCCATGTGGGGTATAAGATAATGTAGTAAATTATGATTTGTTTCCAAGGATACATTGAGTTGCTGTAGTAGCGATCTTTATCTTAGCATTACAATGGTTCATAAAGACAGCAACAAAACAAATATTAAAATAGGAGAAAAGTGGACAGTAATTTAAAACAGAAGCTATTAGATAAGGAAATGCAATGGCTACTCTAGTTAGAAATATTAATTTGAAACTTTTGCCTTAACTGATGAAAAACATGTCCATAGCAACAGTTCATTACTTGAACTGTGATGGATTATATACATGCTTTTACCAAAATTATAGTGGTTTATGTGAGATTATAATTCTGTTCATAAACTGAGACAATATAGTAATAATGTAAAAGCAATGATACTACTTTTCAAAGCAAAATAAAAAAAATACTGCAATCAAATTATTCTCTAACAATGGTAAGATGATTAAAAAAACCTGAAAAGTGATACTTCAAGAACAGTGTTTTTTCCCTTCCTACTTTTAACGTAAGAGGCTGAGAGGCTCTAAATACAATTTCCCTTTGTTTCTCAGTCCTAAACAATGAACTTGATTTCCGAGAGTTGATCTTTGCCATTTTACAAGTGTGTAAATAGAATTTAGATCTCATATTTTTGTGTATTAAACAAGGCAGTTATTTTAAAGAAAGAAATTTGTTCAAGGAAATTTGTCAATGCCTTTTGTCAACACTTTGTAAATACCATGTGATACATTGCATTGATGCTAAGTATCTTCAGATAATATTATAACACAAGTTGCAAGAGGACTACTACTTAATTCTTCTTCATTTTTTTTTTTTTTTGCATTTGGCAATTTCATAATTCTTAACACATTGAAGCAATAGATTATAGAAAGCTAAAGAAAATCCTTTAATATTCAGATATGGCAAAAAGGTTCTGTTTGTATATGTTGGACTAGGTGATTTTGGGGGTCTCTTCCAATCTAAATGGTTGTGTGATTCTGTATTCACTTCGGTGAATTATTTCTCTGTATCTTTTTCTCAAGTCATAGATCTGTCAGCATTCTCTCTTAACTAGACTATAATTTTATTCGGGAATGTTAGTGGGATTTGGGAAAGGAACTTTAGCCATTGAGGAAAATAACTATATCTACAGCAGAAAAGGTGATTGTTTTTTTTTTTTTCCAATCCATATTTCTACTGAGATATCAGGCTCTATACAGCTACAACAGAATTATTTAAATAATACATAGATCTTTCAGACAATGATGGACCATATTTTAGAAAGTATCACAGTATCATCATAGCTAGGCTGTCATTTGAATTGTCAATGTCCTTTATTTTTTGAGTATCACGACCAGGCACAACTGGTAAGTAAGAAAAAGTATTTCTATTCTACTTCGTGTTGCCAACTTCTCCAGTATTGTCTTTCCTTGCTGGATTTTGAGCTTCATCAACAGGAGACCTTGAACATGCTGGATATTGTGAAGTGTTTGTTTAATTATTCAGTTGTAACATTTGTACCTGCATTTATTCTATTAGTTTTAGTAATATTTTAATATAAAACATTGTAAATACAAATGATAATTCTGATCTACTGAATTTATGCTTTGTAACTGTATGGTTCCTGAAGGGTTACATCTTTTTTAATGAAAGAGTTCGCGTTGATATTATTCTTTGAACTCTGCTACAGAGAATAGTGGTACCTCAGTCTGGGAGAAAAAAGTTAGTCTTAGTATGCAAAAAAGGCCCTTGTGGCATTAGATCTGTCTATTAGGAAGTAAAGAAACATATAAAATAATAAAAAAGTGGTCCTAAAGAGTTTCTTCTTGTTGTGAAATCAAATGACCACACTTCAGTGAAAATGAAAAATCTGATAAAGGTTCTGTCTGATTAGGAATCCTATTGACAGAAATTACAAGCCTAGTTTTAATTAATCACTTTAAGTCTCATCTCCTTCCAAGAATACAATGATGGTGAACACAAAACAAAATTATCTTTAAAACTGAAACCGGTGATTATTACGCACTGGATGAAATATGCAAAATATTTTTTTGTTGTGAGTTGTTCCTTTGGGGTTTTTCCCCAGCTTGAGTGAAGTAATTTCATACAATTGGGCGCAGGTCTGATGAGGCAAAACATTTTAATTGATCTGTATGAAATAGCTTGCCACTGTTACAACGAAAGAAATTAATTTTATTTTGAAACTCAGATACAGTTAACAGTTTGCAGTAAAATGATTTGAATCAGCTTGCTAGCAGTTCTCTTCATTGTTGTATGAAATGCTAGTGGTTAATCAAAGTAATGTAATTGGTTTTGATTCCTTATCTGTGAACTGTCATTAATGTACTCTTTCTGATGTCAATCTTATTTGTAAACTTGGTTTGTATATTTTTTTTCAGTTTTACTGGTGCATTAGCTCAGTCACAAGTTTGGTCAAATAATTTCCTTTATAGTCCACTTTTATGTCTCAATGTAAATAAGAGATTCTGTCTCTGCTAATTTGTCTGTTTACATGCTGAATGATGCATTCTTTTTAATAATAAAATTGACACTGTAACTTAAATTTTTTTGAGTCCATGCAGAGCAAAACCTAAATCAAGAATTGGCACTGCTGAATTAGGTTGCTGCATCTGCTAGCTGGTGAAGCCCTGTCTGTTGATACTTAAATTTAACTTTATTTGCGCTCATGTTTGGTATGTTACAGATAAATAAAACTTGTTATAACAAGTACACTTGTGTTTTAATCACATTTTTATCAGTCTCTCTGAAAATATCACACACGTTAGATCTTTGTAAATGCATGTATTATATAAGAATATATGTATATATATCTTTGGAATCAAGTGTCACAATTCCTACACATGTAGTTAAGTCTTTAAGGTTAAATTATTAAGCATAAAAATTGTAATAGACTATATGATTTCAAGTATGTGAAAAGCTGTAAGAAGTTCTAAAAACAAACTCAACAGAATGTTGTAGTGTTTCATTTTTGAATGGCTTCTGTATTTCTCAGAAGGTGAAGGTTTTCCTCCTGTTATCCTCATAATAAGCACAAATTGAAATAGAAGAAATGTAAGAAAAAGCTTTTACAGTAAAAAGAAAAAGTGATGTGGTGCTGTAACAGGTTGCCCAGAGAAGTCGTTGGCACCCTGGCCTTGGAGATACTCAAGGCCTGATAGAACACAGTGCTGGGCAAGCTGCTCTAGGTGACACTGCTTGTGCAGGGGCATGGGCTAGGAGACCTCCAGAAGTACTTAAATAATCTGTAAGTCTGTGATTCCCAAAATCTCAGCCTGCTATTTTAACTTGATTTGTGTTTTATATAAACACTGCACAAAGATGAGTTAGTTAAATAAACAGCTGGTCAAACAGATGTTACATATGAACAAACAAAAATCTAAACATCATGAAACTACTAAAACACATACTAGGCCTTTTAGCTGTGCAATGCTATTCAAATAAGAATAGTGC